ACAAAATATCGATCGTTTAAGAGTTATACAACAAATTGTTCGGGGTCCTTTTTATCCCTAATTTGATGAGTCAGCACTTTTTGATTGACATCATTTGAAAGAACTTGATATTTTGCAGTATCTCTTAACAAAATGACTATACTTTTAAAGATATGATACAACATGTCTCCAAAATTCACTCTTGATTTGTTTCCTAACTTTCAACCCTTGGCCGTTTCCATACTACACATTTTCGGAAAATTTGGAAACCTTGTTGCAACATGGGAACATGTCCTTTATTATCACAGAAAATTTCAGTGCTTTAGCTTTAACCGTTTTTGAGTTCTATCGCAGACAAAGAGGTCCTCAAAATTTTGATTAAAGGGCAATAACTCTCGACCGGAAGTGATTTTCAAAAAAATGAAAAAAACGTATAAGGTTTAGATAAAGATACACCTTTCCTGAAATTTTCAAGTAAATCGGTCGAGCCATCTCCGAGAAATCTTCTGCACAAAAATTGTAAAGAAAAAAAAGGAAGAATAATAATAATAAAAGTGAAAAAGAAACAATAGAATAATAGAAGGGTCTTCCGCTGAGACGGAAGACCCTAATAATAATAATAAAGGTAAAAAAGAAACCGAAGAATAATAGAAGGGTCTTCCGCTGAAGACGGAAGACCCTAATAATAAAAGTGAAAAAGAAACAATAGAATAATAGAAGGGTCTTCCGTTGGAGACGGAAGACCCTAATAAAAGTGAAAAAGAAACCTAAGAATAACAAGAAGGTCTTCCGCTGAAGACGGAAGACCTTAATAATAAAAATAGTGGAAAAGAAACCTAAGAATAACAGTAAGGTCTTCCGCTGAAGACGGAAGACCTTAATAAAAATAGTGGAAAAGAAACCTAAGAAAACAATAAGGTCTTCCGCTGAAGACGGAAGACCTTAATAATCTTTACCAACAGAATCAGTAGAAGGTCTTCCGTTGGAAACGGAAGACCTTAACTATTTACATTTATCTTACAAGTAGATTTAGATACTTTATACATTTATGTTACAAGTAGATGTAGATTCTTTTTACATTTATCCTACAAGATGAGTTAGATATTTGTTACATTTATCTTACAAGTGAAGTTAGGCACATGTAATTTTTGCTTTTATCTTACAAGTAGAGTTAGATACTTTTTACATTTATCTTACAGATAGAGTTTGATACTACATGTATTTACAAATATCCTTAACATTTATATTACAAGCAGAGTTAGATGCTTATTACATTTATATTACAGTGGAGTTACATACTTTTTACATTTATCTAACAGTCGAGTTAGATACTTTTTACATTTATCGAACAAGCAGCGTTAGATACTTTTTATATTTAACTTACAATAGAGTTAAATAATTTTATATTTATTTTACAAGTGGAGTAAGATACTTTTTACATCTATCTTACAGTAGAGTTGGTCTCTGAGGAAGATGTGTCTGACACTGATACTGAGGAGGATGGTGATAAGCTGGGGGGTTATAGACCCCCTAAGGTAACCACTGGTCAGGTACTAGTATTTGAACCCCCCAAGTCAAACTTTTATTTCTCATTCCAAATACTTCAGTTGGTCATAGAAATCTTTTTTAATTTAATACCAGCTCTTTACTGTGTTTCAGTTGTTTCGCTTTGAGAAACTTACTGCTATAAGAATTACAAGGATATGAAAAAATGAGACGAAGTGAAAATAAGTAAAAATGAATTTAATTTCAAATAGAAACAATCGATAGAAAATAATGGTTCTGGAGTTCAGAAGAATTGTTTGGGGTCAGGTGATGTTGTGGACCCGGCACGTGGAATCCGTTTATTTCACGAGAAGAACGTCATCACGAGGGTTCCCTGTCACAATGACATGCTGATCATGTTTGCCTCGCCACAAGGTTCTTATCATATCAGAGCTTCTTAAAGTTTTGATTTTCAAGTCTCTAAAAATGAGACAATAACTATCCATGATATGACATACTATGATTAGACGATCTTTTTTCTAATTAATCAGGTCTTTATGCTGTTAGAAACCTGGAAATGGGAAGCTACCTACTGAAAAATCTGTACGAGGCTGTGGAACAGTTCTATGGAAATGGAAAACTGGAGAATAATAATACCAATTTTCTGGACGTCCTGAGGCATGTCGCGGCACTGATGACGTCAAAGACTTACTTCGGTGATAAGGAATATACAAATGTGCCATGTATTGTACACAAGCTCTCCAAAGATATCATCTTCACTCAGGGAATGTCCATGGCCCACACCAAATTCATAGAATATTAGAAATCTGAAATTAAAGGACTGTTTATAACATTACATAAAATGTTACTTGATACAAATTCTTGGACGGCTTTAATAAGTTGACATTTATTTCATGCATGTGAATTACGTTAGAGATTTTTTTCTTCCTTCATTTGCAGAAAGAAATGAATTTATTTAACGATAAAGATCTGCTCTTTTGTAACACTTTCTGAAATATCTTTGCTCAAACAACAAGGTGATATGATGCAGAGCAGACATTATAGAACCTTTAAAACGAAGTTAAAAAGCAGGTTGGTGTTACATGGCAAAACCAAAGGCGTTATAATGCATAATAATACAATATGAAAAGCATTCGATTGTAAAATCAATACGTATTTTTGTGGGATCAAATTTTCAAGGATTGAAGCACACTTATGGTTTGGGAAATTTCATTTCGTAATTTTTAGCTCACCTGAGCCGAAGGCTCAAGTGAGCTTTACTGATCACATTTTGTCCGTCTGTCTAGCTGTCCATCTGTCTGTCCGTCTGTAAACTTTTCCTATTTTTGACTTCTTCTCTTGAACCACTTGGCCAATTTTGACCAAACTTGGTACAAAGCATTCTTGGGTGTCGGGGAATCTAAATTGATAAAATAAAGGGCCAAGTCCCCTCACAAGGGGAGATAATCAAGAAAAGACAAAAATAGGGTGGGGTCATTAAAAAATCTTCTTCTCAAGAACCACTGGGTTAGAAAAGCTGAAACTTATGTGAAAGCATCCTGGTATAGTGTAGATTCTAAATTGTTCAAATCATGACCCCCAGGGGAAGGGCGGGGCCACAATGGGGAATCAAAGTTTTACATAGAAATATATAGGAAAAACCTTTGAAAATCTTCTTCTCAAGAACCACTGGGCCAGAAAAGCTGAAACTTATGTGGAAGTATTCTGGAGTAGTGTAGATCTAAATTGTTCAAATCATGACCCCTTGGGGAAGGGCGGGGCCACAATGGGGAATCAAAATTTTACATAGAATATTTAGGAAAAATCTTTGAAAATCTTCTTCTCAAGAACCACTGGGCCAGAAAAGCTGAAACTTATGTGAAAGCATCCTGGTATAGTGTAGATTCTAAATTGTTCAAATCATGACCCCCTGGGAAAGGGCGGGACCACAATGGGGAATCAAAATTTTACATAGAAATATATAGGAAAAATTTTTAAAATATTCTTCTCAAGAACCACTGGGCCAGAAAAGCTGAAACTTATGTGGAAGCATTCTGGAGTAGTGTAGATTCTAAATTTTAAAAATCATGACCCCCGGGGGGAAGGGCGGGGCCACAATTGGGATTCAAAATTTTACATAGAAATATATAGGAAAAAATTTTCAAAATCTTCTTCTCAAGAACCACTGGGCCAAAAAAGTTGAAACTTATGTGGAAGCATTCTAGTGTTCTGTAGATTCTAAATTGTAAAAATCATGACCCCTGGGGGAAGGGCGGGGCCACAATTGGGAATCAAATTTTTACATAGAAGTATATAGGAAAAAATCTTTGAAAATCTTCTTCTCAAGAACCACTGGGCCAGAAAAGCTGAAACTAATGTGGAAGCATCCTGGTATAGTGTAGATTCTAAATTGTTCAAATCATGACCCCCAGGGGAAGGGCGGGGCCACAATGGGGAATCAAAATTTTACATAGAAATATATAGGAAAAATCTTTGAAAATCTTCTTCTCAAGAACCACTGGGCCAGAGAAGCTGAAACTTATGTGGAAGCATTCTGGGGTAGTGTAGATTTAAATTGTTTAAATCATAACCCCCGGGGGAAGGGTAGGACCACAATGGCCGGCAAACGTTTTACATAGAAATATACAGGAAAAATCTTTGAAAATCTTCTTTTCAAGAACCACTGGGCCAGAAAAGCTGAAACTTATGTGCACACATGGAAGGATCCTGGGGTAGTGTAGATTTCAAAATGTTTAAATTATGATCAGTGGGGTAAGGTGGGGATGCATTATGTATTACAAGGGGGAAATCTGGTAAAGAAGAGAATGGTCAAAGCTTCTCATGTGAGCGATGTGGCCCATGGGCCTCTTGTTGAAATATTGAATTGTAGTTGTGTATATTTTTGCATTTCATGGTGGATTTTGAGTTTGTTCAAACCTCGAAAACATAGAAATTTAATACGCACATCTTTGAAAAATTACAGTACTAATTTTACAGTATTACTTTACCATGAAACTTATGAACATAACGAACAGTATTGAAAATCAAAAATCCAGAATACAAAACAAAAAAATAGGAGCAGAGCAGAGCATTTAACACGGGTCTCCAAAACATCAGAGGTGGGATCAGATGCCATGGAGGAGTGAGCATCCCCTGTTGACCCGCCGTGTGCTTCTTGTCATGATCGGGAAATAACAGAAGAATCCGGTGTCAATTCAGTGAATAAATGATGGACTAACAATTAGTATAAAAACATCAATCAGCATTTGTCTCAAATGATAAATTGTATTTTGCTGACAAGGTCATGGTATCGATCATAGAACTTACGAAATCATGACTTTTTAAAGGATACTGTTAATATTCTTCTTTCATCAATTTGTTTGTCAATAATTTACCTCCTTTTAGAAATTGTTCATACATAGAGCATGCTCACTTCACGTTATTATGCCTTTCAAAATATGTTGTTAATCCTTTTTTCTCTTTTTGTTACATAACGCCACTTTGTAGCTTACCTATGCTGAAAGTTCAAATGGTGTCCGGCGTCTGTCCGTCCGTCTAAGGCGTCTATCTGTCCTTCCGTCTGTAAACTTTTCACATTTTCAACGTTATCTTCTTCATAAGACCCACTGATTTGATTTTAACCAAACTTGGTACAAAGCACCTGTGGATAAAGGAGGTTATATATTGTTTTTAATGAAGAGCATGTCCCTGTCAAGGAGAGATAATCGAGAAAAGACAATTAAAAAGGCTGGTGTCATGAAAAAAGATCTAATTTAAAAATAGGTAGGGTCATATAAAAAAAAAATATAAGAACCACGTGACCAAAAAAAGCTTAAACTTGTGTTGAAGCTTAAATTTCAGAGGTAGTGTGAAATTCTAACTTTTTCAATACATGGCTCCCGGAGCTAGGTTGGTGCTCTGAGAGGAAATCGAAATTTTATATTTTGAAATATAAAGAAAAAAATTTCCTAAAACTACCATGATTGTACGAGAAAAGCTGAAACTTATGTCATGCGCAGAACTACCAAAGGTAATGTAGATATTAATTGTTTAAAATTATAACCCCCCCCCCCCCAAAAAAAACGGTTCAGAGTTATATTAATGGACTGGGCCAAATACAGATAAATATATGCATGTAGGGCAAACATAATCTGATGCAGAACAGAAGGGCAAAGTGACTCAGGTGAGCGTTATGGTGTTCTTTTCTCTGTCTCCATGGATACATTTAAAAAATTGTACAATATTCTTTAGAAACCTTTTGTCCAAAGGAAAAGAATAAGAGTTTAATATACTTTAAAAGAATTGGTTGGACATTTACTAAGAAAAATGAAATGAATTTTAAGTTTTCATTTGATTCAAATTTGTAACTATGTGTCACAGGCACTTGTTTCGATAATATTTTTTTTACCCATAGTATAATTTAACGTGTTATTATTATACTATGGGTTAAAAATTTATTACTGAAACGAGTGCCTGTGCTATGTGTGCTCCCTTTCCCTCATATATAAAAGTAAAAACATATTTAAACAGTAGAAGGGAAATTGCATGGGTTTTCAAAAAGGACATTGCATTCAACAAATATTATGTAGCATCCCCCTCCCGCCCCGGAAAACGATCTTATAATTTTGGTTCACAAAACCTGAACAAGGTTTGATTTTTTATACCGTTGAGAGGATATATTGTGCTTTACAAAAAACTATTTATTAATATTTCTTTAATTTTTCAATTTGTATTTCAATTTTTATTATTATATAAATTGTTATGATTTGCTCTACAAGAAAAATAAAGAAATATTATGCATTTTATTATAACAATTATAATATAAATATTACTGATAAGTACAAATATCTTGGTATATTTTTACAATCAAATGACAATTTAAAACATGTTTGTGATTACTTTGCTGCCAGAGCCAGAAAAGCTTATTTTTGCCTTAAAGCATAAACTACCTTTTGCCTCAAATCTCTCTCCCAGCTTGTGGTTAAAGCTATATGAATCAATTATTGTTCCAATTTTAACATACTCCTCAGAAATTTGGATCTCTGATTTTAATACAAATCCCAATAATTTTGATAAAACTTCTTTTGAAAAAATCCAAAATTTTATCTTAAAAAACATCTTAGGTGTCCATAATAATGCATCAAACTTAGCAACAAAAATTGAATTAGGTGTTTTCCCTGTACATACCAAAATTTACCAGCTTGCTTTTAAATATTATTCCAGATTGGAAAAATTAACAAAAACAAATAATAATTGCAATGTCTTACTCAAGAATGCTTACTTGGAAGATACTCGATTGGCCAGTGAAAAAAAAAATGTTGGCAAAGTTGTGTAAAATCAATACAGAAGATGTTGGGTTTTAACTTTGACACAGATTTTAAAACTTTTAGTCCTAAACTTAAAAATTTCTTTGAAAATAATTTTTTTTCTGAACTCCAATCCATTAACAATACTCAATGCGGTAAGCTGTCATTTTATAGTAAATTATTCAACTATGATGCTAAGAAACTGGAAATCCAACCATACTTGTGTTTTCCACTTCATAAGAATTTAATTTCTTATCTTTCCAAGTTAAGAATAAGTGCATATAAGTTGTATGTAGAAACAGGTAGATATTGTAATCCTGTCATTCCTAGAGAAAATAGATTTTGTTTCCAATGTAAAACTATTGTTGAAGATGAAAAACACTTTTTACTTGATTGTCCTGTGTATAAAAATGTCAGAAAAAAGTATTCAAGGTTACAAAATTTTAATAACTTATCTTGTTTGCTTAATCCACATAACTTTGTATCTACGAAACAAATCTGTCTATATATCAGAGACTGTTTTGATATTAGAAACAAGCTTACAATAGTATAATATTTTGTAATACATGTATATGGCTAACAACACATTCCTGTATATAAATATGTGCTTTAGTGCCAATAAAGAATTGAAATTGAAATTGAAAAATTGTTATTATTATCATTATTTTATTCTTTATTTATTTTATTTTATTTACCAATTTCTTGACAAAGTAATATTCTTTGAATAATTCTCAAAATGATTTTTAAAAACAGTTTTTATTTTATGTATCTCAATATGAAACAGGGTTCTCGAAAGCTGTATCATTATACATAATATTTTTTCAGTGCACTAGCATATAACATTCAAGTTAAATTAAACAGTTAACTGAGAAGAGAATATTCAAAAGAAAATCAAAAATAATTCCCTGCAGTGCTTTTTTTTTTAATTTTATTTTTTAATCCTTAAATATTGTTTCTATAAGTTACAGGCGTAGTTACTTACTAACCTTCGACATAACAAAATTGATAACACAAACATTGCTTCTTTTTACCTGTTTAGGGGATACTTAATCCAATGTTATCATGTTCGCGTATATTAGCCTAACCCCGAAAGTGAAAGTAGCGGAATCAACTTATCAAGTCAAGGTCCTGATTATCTAATCTAATGACTTTTAAAGGAGTTTATCGGCTGTTCAGAAAGACTACTCTGTTTCAGAAAAGGTATTTTAAAAATATGTATTTTTTCATGTAGATTAGACTACAAGTTTAAATCTTTTATTTATTCTTTCATTGAGATATTTTATATCAATCGTCTGCTCAGCATCACAGGTAGATCTACTTGGGTCTTGGTTCATAAATATGTAGCCAATAATGTACCTTATTACTATGTTAAAAAAAGAAGGATTTTTTCACATACCAATAGGGTACATTATACATAAACCAAGACCCAAGTACCTGTGGAGATGACGAACAGTATTCAAGATTAAAAGTCCTTAAACTGTTACTAAATAGGAGCGGAGCAATTACGGACCTCCAAAACATCAGAGGTGGGATCAGGTGTCATTGAAGAATGAGCATCCCCTGCCGACCAGTCACACTGCAAGTGTGCTCCTTGTCATTATTGGGAAATAATAAAAAAAATCGGTTGTCAATTCAGAGTATGAATATAATGGACTAACAAATATATATAATGAAAATCGCCAGTCTGCATTTGACTCAAGAAATTGTATTGCTTAAGGTCATTGTATGGACTATATATAGAACTAACGAAATGATGACTTCAAATGAGACTGCTGATATTCTTGTTTCATCTTGTTTGTCAAAATTAACTTAGTACCTCGTTTTACATACATAGAGCATGCTCTTGCATATTGAATCAACTGAGATACTGTGAACACAGTTATTTGTTTTGTTTTTATGCATACAGCTCAATCCCTTTGTGAAAAAGGTAGACCTGAAACAAGTGCCTGTAACAGATCAGATATGATTATCAATAGAGTTGTTCACCTATAATTGTTGTCTTTTTGTGGTGATTTGAATGAATAAGTTATTGATTCATGTTTCAATATAAAGATCTGCCAAACTTGAAAGATACCAAAATATGTCTTGCTCTTAAAAATGTGAGCAAAAAAGAAATACTTAATGATGATTTTTGTTTTTAGAATACATCTGATGTCCACTAAGTCTGACCATCTCCAGAGAACAGCGGAGAATTCCAGGGATCAGGTTAACTTAGAAAGTCCAGATTATAACAAACACTACATTATACATCAAAAGTCAAATGCAGTGACATATTGAAAATTTTGTTTTCAAAATTATTTCAAATGTTAGTACAATTCTCAGTTAACCTTGGACTTTCAGTAGGGCGTGACTTTCTCGACACTATGCCTAATTAAAGTCTCTCAAATGGCGAATAAATATTCTCACTGGTAAAGAAATTAATATTAACATCAGCATCTTTAAATTGTTGATAACGATGAGACAACTTAAGCCCCACCTCTCTGCCATGCAAAATGCTATCATTGGATCATTGATACACTAGTTGACATTCTCCAGAATGTATATTTCAACAGAGTATAAAAGGCTGTGTAAATATCAGATGCTAATTATGTAACATGCCTTACTGAATGTCCAAGGATAACAGAGAATTGTACTATTATTTTGTACTCATTTCTTTGTTAATTAAGCTGGCTAACTTCATGATCTTTAAACATGGAATGTCCCTTACCACTTTTTGTTCTTTATTACAGCTGCTTTCTGTACAATTTAATGTTTCATTTGCCATTATGATTGATTATCTCAAGTGCTTTCTCAATAGTTTTGTGTTGATGCATGTTTCCGTACTATTACAGGTGTTTTTCATGTTGATTATTACAGGTGGTGTCTGTAGCCACAGTTATAGGTATGCGTGATGAGTCCACTACAGTCAAAGGTCTGACCCTGAAAGTACATGAAAGATCCTTATCCTTTAAGGCAGGCCAGTGGTGAGATAGCTAGGTTATCATCTCTGCCTTTCTCTCTCTCTTTCTCCTTTCACTTTTGTAGTTTGTTCCATAAGCTGTCGGGAAAGCTTAAGAATTACTTTGCATTTCTAATGGGCTGTAATTTTTGTAAAAGTGACAAAACATTTGCATTTTTTTTTCCAAATGACTTAATTGTGTAAGATATTGGATTTAAAAAGAACATTTCTAACCTCTTGTTTGAAACAATGTTTCCTACTCAATTTGAGAAGACTATGAATTTGCATATATTCTGTTTGAATAATTATGAGTTATACTTGTTAAAAATAAAAAAAGAATTGTTGAAACAAAAAATATATTTTTAATTTTTTTTTTTTATCATTTTCCCTGTAAATTCTCAGCAAAAATTGTTGAGATGATGTGTTTTCTATAGCAGCACAGACATTTTGTCAGGTTTGAAGAAAGTTAATAATGTGTTCATCTTTTCTATAACAGGGTAGACACCTTCCTGCCAGGTTTGGAAAAAGTTGGAGGCTTCTCAATGTGTTCATCACCAGGAATTCTTCAAAGGGAGGGAACTCTTGACCTAGCAGTCAAGTACAGCGATCATCCTCCAGCAAAGTGGATCCACGAAAAGGTACATTGTACTGACTCAGCTTTTTTCGACTTCTTAATACACAAGAAACAAAATATTGTCGGTGAACTGCCTTAATGTATGTACATGTACACAGTTGTTGTATAATAAAGGTACAAATGTAATTTTTTGCCCAGACTTATTATATATAATAATTTTTTTTTTGAAATTATGATATAGTACACATGGGTGCACAAGTGATTTAAAATAAAAATAGATAAAATGTGCCATTTAAGTTTTATTTTAAAATGCACATTGAATTTAACTTACAATACATATTTGTACAAATACAAGAAAAAAGTTTTTTTTAAGTGTCCAGATTATCTTCAAAACACATCTAAACCATTGACAACAGCTTTTTGTCTACCCATCTACCTTTTACGTGTACATGTACTTTAATCTCAATGAAATGGTGAGATTACCCATATCAAAAAATAATACAGAAAAGTATATTTTTAATATATTTTTAATACATTCATTTTTGTACTTTCGTAAAATAATACAGAAAAAATATATTATTTTCCTATCACAAAAAATTCAGTATATCATTTTTGTATTAAAATTTGACTGATTTTGTACAGTATATTATTTTTGTATTTTTTTGGACTTAGATTATTTTCAGTGTATTATTTTTGTATTTTTTCAGGACTTATTCAGTGTATTATTTTTGTATTTTTTCCAAATGTATTTTTTCTGTATCAAATTTGAACTTAGTAATTTTACAGAAAAGTCTATACAGTTAGACTGTATCATTTCTGTATTAAATTTGGACTTAATAATTTTACAGACAGTTTGTCTGTATTATTTTTATATCAAATTTAGACTTAGTAATTTTACAGATTTTGTCTGTATTATTTTTATATTAAATTTGGACTTTGTAAATTTATAGAAAAGACCTTACAGTTAGACTGTATTATTTTTATATTAAATTTGGACTTGGTAATTTTACAGAAAGACAGTCAGTATTTTTTGTATCAAATTTGATTTTAGTACATTTACAGAAAATTCCATATATTTGGTCTCTATTTCTTTTTGTTGTTGGGGGGGGGGTAAATTAAGACATATTTTCTATTTACATTTGTCTCTATGAGTATGAACTTTATAAATTTTAGAGAAATTCCTTGCAAAATGTCTGCTGCTTTTTTTTTATAAGTTTATAGCATACCCGGTACTTAGAAAATTTTTATTATATATTTTTTTTCAGGAATCTTGGTATCCAATTATAAAGAACTTAAATAATTAATTGGTACTAAAATTTATGTTAATCTCAATCAGTGGTAATCCAGAGAAATATTTCCGTCTTGGGCATGAAGATTTTACAGCGGGTTTACATTGACTTTTCAGCGGGTTTACATCTTTCACGTGTTTACATCTATCACACAACAGGTGGTCTTGCAGGCTAACAAATGATTGCATCATACTACAATTCAGAAATTACGTGATTTACCTGTGCACATGGAAAGTCCCAACTAGCTATTACCATGCATACGATGTTTTCTTCAGATTTTAGTATATATGTGCATTTTTTCACTCAGAGAAGGAATCATATTCAAATTATCCTAAATAACTTTCAAGAAATGAGCTGACAATGTTCAAGTCTAGAAAGGGATGTGCAAGTAGTAGGTTTCCTAATTTAAATTATCAGTGTGTTTAAGATAGATATTTACACTAGAGAAAATTAGCTGAAACATGTGCAAAAATTATTAAAGTTTGGAAGTATTAATTTTTTTAACCTGCTTGGACTGTGTTATTTGTGTAGTAGTACAGTCAATTTAATTATTCTAGTAGTTGTAATGTAAGTTGTTTTTATTCAGATAAAATATCAGTTTTTCTTCAACTCTGTGTTTAATTCTACTCTCAGTTTAAAAAAAAACGATCCTGATTTTAATTAGTTAATAATTTACAAGTTAATTATCTTTGATCTTGGGCTAATTCTTGCATAATCAATGCAATCAAATGACAGTTTCTCAAGTTAAATCTTCTACCCTGACAGCCTGAGGCATGTTAATTAGCCAGGTGGCTGTGTGCTTGTGTTCAAGCGTGAAGTGATTTCCTGTCGTGAATTCACACTTGGTTGCGTTATGTAAACAAGAGATTATCAGTATGCACTGAATAAACAGAACAGCTAAGGAATATTGCCTACACTGGGAATATTTATTAATTTTTTGTTAGGAAAATAGGACATGGCGCCGAGAAAAGGGGGCATGGCTCTGTGCCTTGCTATTTTGCTTTAGATTTAACACTAAATTGACCCTTCTTCTTGAACTTTATGGTCTATTATACGGGTCAACTTGTATACTAGTGATTAAAAAAACAAAACAATATGGCTGACCAGAAATCTTTCTCATCTGTAATCGGAAAATTTCTTAAAAACAAAAATAACGATTATAAGAAATGATTCCTAATAATTATTCTAGTAATTATCAAGGGTTTATTATATTGATTCCATATTACTTATTAGACTTCGTACATAAATAAATTTCCTTAGACCAGTCTAGACGAACTCCAAAAACGGCGTTAACGGAAGTGAGAATTTCAGTCCAGAAAAGACTCCAAAAAACGAGTCCAACGCATGCGCAGTTATATAAAAAACGGTGAAAAATCGTGAAAAGTGGGCTCTTATAAAAAGTGTTTTTGCAAAAAATTGGATTACCTTACAATAATGTAAGTTCTCAGAAACGATTAATAATAAATGGTTTTAGAAAACGTATTTGTTAGAATTTTGATTTCATGTGCAAATAGTTTTTAATTTCAAGTCAAAGTTGACCAACTTCGAGGTTCAGCCAGACATCGAACTAGTAGGATACAAAATACAAATTAAACAGTCGTAATCTTATGAAAACACCTCTGTGGTTGATAATTTGTTTGTAGTGACTAAGTTAGTCATTTTAGAACTATTTTTACTGATTTTAGAAGTTTATTTTGTAAGTAAGGAACGCTGGCGAATTTTCAGTTCGAATTTCCTCTGTTTTTCATGTCTATCGTGTACGAATGAATTTCAGCACGACCCATTTCAGCATGTTTAGATCAGCAATGAGCAACTGCATTGAAAATACATCTTACCAATAATTAAAAAAGTACTGAATTGATGGTTTTAATAATAAATAAGAGTCGATCAGGTGACAGTTACATGAGAATCCATTCAGTTTCCACATTTCCTCCGAGGCTTTTTTGAAGAAAGTTCACGTTTCAAGTTAGATCAAATACAAAGAAAAATAAACGTTTGGGAATTAAATATATAATAAAAGGGAAAAATATGTAAAATTTAACAATATGATATATATGTTGTAACTGTTAAACATTGACCAAATTTTTACCTATTTGTAATATTATTTCGTCATATAATCCCGTATGACATCTGAATATTGAGAGCGTTAGTTATCACTATCGCTATATACCTAATGTTTTCACATATGAATAGATATAATCATGAAAACATTTTAGAATTATAATCTATGAGTTTAAGAACTAAAAAAATCATTCTTTTAAAATTACGGTTAAAAAGTCTTCTCAAATCGAACCTGTTAATATCTCTGCTCCGCCGCCAAAATTGTGCGGTTTTTCATTAAAAAAAAAAAAACGATATATAAGTGTCTTAGAAGTAAAATTTAAGCATCTTTATAGTAGGAATGGCATAAATTTAAATCAAGGGGACAATAAATTAAGTTAGAAAATTAATTCTTACCGACTTTATTGAATCCCGGTGTCGTACGTATATCCCAAATCACTATTATGCAAGAATACAGAGCGATAAATAAGTCAATAACCACTAAATAATTTAATAAGTGCAATTATTTATTTAAAAAAAAATAAAATCCAGTCACAGTATACTAAATACAGCCATTACTCGGTCGTATTTTTGGAGAAAGCGAACGACAATCCATCGTTTGTTTACACCGGAAGCCATTTTGCCGCAATGCATGACGGAGCCAAAGACTTCTTTTTCGGAGTTCACGCTGTTTTTGGAGTTCGTCTAGACTGTAGACTGTTAAAAATATTTTATATTTAAAAATCGGCAATCTTCGTAAATAAGGAGCTATTTGATTGGTCAGATTTTAAAATTTTTCTTTGCTTTTCTCTGATTGGTTAACGGTAATTTACCCACGCCATTTTGAAAAATAGATCGACGAACCGAATTGAGAGAGTTGGTGATGTTTAATAAAATTTAGCAAATATTCGCCGATGAAATTGGTAGAAAATAGATGTTTAGCTACAGCATGTTAGCATGGATCACATTTATAAACAAAGAAAAGCGAAAACGGAAGGAGGTTGGCGTTTTTCATGCATCATGCCCTGGCTTTGCTGGTGTAAACAACGCCATATGCGGTAAGAATTTACATAAAATAGCACAGTAGTTTCAATTTTTAAAATGTGAAATGTAGATTAATAAATGTTATCTTTTATAAACAATTTATAGTAGGTCAAATTAAGGATATACGATCCTCAGCCAGGAAGGATAACTCTTTAATTTATAATTTAATTCAAAAAGTCTTAAAATAAAGCTTGAAAATAAAATTTTTTCATGCAACAATTTTCATTTTATGCCTCTACCTATGATTCAATGTTCTTTAAAGTTTTAACAAACGGTATTAAAAAATTTGACATTTGTACCTCATAAAATTAAGTTAACCTTGCATATTTAAATAAAATCAAATTTCTTTTAATTTAGCCTTAGTTACCAATGATTATAAGCATGATTTGAAATTAGAAGTGATTTACGGTGTTTTCTTTGAAAGGAAACACTTCATACACTATGCATTATGAAACGATGGAAGTAAGGAGGGGAAAGTAAAGTACCAAATAAGTGTAAAAATCATGCAATTTTCTTTAAAAGCCTGGATACCTAGGATTTTAATTCCTAAAATGTATTTCTTGATCAATTATTAATTAAAAAATATGCAGTAGGTAGTTCAAATCGCATTTCCTGAAAAATTATTTGAGATTTACTAATTTTCCTTATATAATATGATTAAATTTAAAGATGAAGTTTAAAAAACACCGCGGGTAAATACATTTTAATTTGAGAATTTAGAGACATCTTTGTGAGCATTTTCAATTACTCAATGCCTGATTTTCAGAACCTGAGGATCGGATAACCTTAAATGCAGATGTATTGGATTTGTGGCGAAAGAGAGTTTTGTAATGCTACTTTCTATCTTGAATTGTATGGATAATTACGGGCTTTCAATGGCAAATGATATTATTTACATGGACCAAAAATGACTTAAAAATTAATTTCACCCTATCCCTCAGGCCTAAACATGGAATAATAACAGATAAAATCACCTTGGCACAACCATTCAAATTTTGAAATGTGAAGGGGGGGGGGTAATCATTGCAACTAAACTTCATGGATTTATGGTTTAGCATACTTATAATTTATTTCAAAAATGACTTGAGAAGAAGGTGATAAGAAAGATTTTTTTTGGCACAAACTAATTATTTTTTATATCAATATATGATGATCTGTATTTCCCTTGCCCAATATCACTTTAAGATTTCAAATCAAATGACCCCCCCCCCAATAAAAGGGGGGGGGGTAATGGCTCAATTTGTAGAATATTTTGCCATGAAAAATTCCAGTCAGGTGTATTGGCAGTTTTATATTTTCATTTTTTAATGCTCTGTATTTCTACCTGTTCTGCAAAACATTTATCAGCATCATTACTTTTACAGTTTGAGTGCCTCTGCAGAGCCATAGAAGAAAAGCTGATTAGTTATAGAGGAATAGGACACCCACCCACCCTCCCACCCTACCCCTTGAGGCATTACAGGTGTGTAACATTGACAATATCAGCTAATCATGTGAAGATTTCTTTTTGTGTGTGTCTGTGCATCTAATTTTGATACACCTCAGTACATTTTGATATTCTATTTTGTAGATTATGCAGGACCAAGCAGGATGACAGTGAGAAAACTGGAGATGTACTTCTTCAACAAAGTAAAGTGCTGTGCAAAAGAAACCCCAAAGCAGAGAGAAGATCTAGACTTTTGAATTCATATCTCATTATAAATGTACAATTTACAAAGACAATAAGATTGATAAAACATGACTTAGAAATGAGGACAATTGAAGAGTGAATACTGTATGTAAGACAGAAAAGATCAAGATAATTGCACAAAAAGTAACTAAATCAGTAATCTAAAGACATTTCTCTTTAAAATCTGATTGAAAGCTGCATTTAAGAAAAAGTTTTTCACGTTTTTAGTACTTTTCTAGGCACTGCTTTGTATTATTTAAAGCTTTTTTATGTACTTTTTGTCTATCATTCTTGTACCTTTTTTGAACTCCTAAATGTACTTTTTTTTGTATTTTTCAGAATGTATTATTTTTAGATTTTTTTGTTTTAAATGCGATTTTAATACAGAAATAATAGACTGATACAAAATTAATACATTTTGCATTATTTTCCTATTTTTTTTTCAAGGTGCTCCAAATAATACAGAAATAATAGACTGATACAAAATTAATACATTTTGTATTATTTTCCTATTTTAATGTTAAAGGTGCACCAAATAATACAGAAATAATAGACTGATACAAAATTAATACATTTTAATTTTGTATTATTTTCCTATTTTTTTTTTTCAAGGTGCTCCAAATGATACAGAAATAATAGACTGATACAAAATTAATACATTTTGTATTATTTTCCTATTTTTTTTTCAAGGTGCTCCAAATGATACAGAAATAATAGACTGATACAAAATTAATACATTTTGTATTATTTTCCTATTTTTTTTTCAAGGTGCTCCAAATAATACAGAAATAATAGACTGATACAAAATTAATACATTTTGTATTATTTTCCTATTTTTTTCAAGGTGCTCCAAATAATACAGAAATAATAGACTGATACAAAATTAATACATTTTGTATTATTTTCCTATTTTTTTCAAGGTGCTCCAAATAATACAGAAATAATAGACTGATACAAAATTAATACATTTTGTATTATTTTCCTATTTTTTTTTCAAGGTGCTCCAAATAATACAGAAAAAATACATCAAGTGTATTATTTTTGTATTTTTACTGAGAAATAAAGTATATTAAAAATATATTTTTTGTGTTTCATTTCTAAGAAAGTGTATTATTTTTGACCTAATTTGGAACCAAGATAAAAAGGGTTCCAAATTTGGTCATTAAAAATATACTTTTTTTGTATTATTTTTGTATTATTTTAATCTATTATTTTTATATTTATTTTCGATATGGGTAAGGTAATCAAATGAAATAAATGGTGGTGGTGGGGGGAGGGGGGAAGGGGTAGAGTATGTCCGTAATTTGAGATTCTCTGGATGAAATGTTTGTTTTCTCTTTGATAAATTGATATAGTTTACATGTTCTTAATTCTTTAATTCTTTTTTTAGTGTAAAGTTGGTACTGAGCTTCAGATCCGAGTCGGTGGTGATGTTTACTTTGATCCTGACCCAGAGAAACCTTCACCTGACCTTCTACTAATAGCGGGGGGCATCGGAATCAATCCTATTCATAGCATCCTATGTCATGTGACCGATCTTCTAGAATCCCATTGGACAAACTCCCCTAAACATGTGTCTTTACTCTACAGTGCATCATCCATGGATGAACTTATTTTTCATGTATTTTTTTGGTTGTTTCTTTTCTGTAAAATGAAGATATTCTTTTCATTGAAATAAAGAACAATATTTGACTTTATCTAGTATTATTAAACACTCATTGCATGATTCTGAGTTCTCATTTTTGTAGGAGGACATTAAAAGATTGTGTATAAAGAACCCAGGGTTCCTGTCTTATAAGAGCTTTATAACCAAAGACAAGTCCGAGATGAGCAGTGAGATTCAAGGTATTTATTAAAGAAAGTACCAGTAGAAGTCTGATTTGCTTCACCACTTCAACTGCAAACATAATGGTGGACACGGTTACAGAAAAAGCAGTTTTTAGAGAATTGCTGCATTACATGTAATAGCACAAGGGTGCCTTGAGGCACGTATGAATTGCAATTCCTATTTTTGATGCCCCCTCCAAAAAAAGGAGGACATATTGCTTTGCTGCTGTCTGTCTGTCTATCTGTTGATCCACCAACAGTTTCCATTCATTTTCTTAGCAGAGGGTGCACATAATGAAATGAAAGAACTCTGTTCATGTTATGCATAAAATGGCGCTGTAGATATACCATATATATAGTTATATAGTTGTAGTCAATCAGACTACAACTTGATGTTCCATTTGAAACATTAAAATAAAATAGAGACTAGGTGCTTTCATTTCCTATTAAAAATGTTCTCCTAAAAGTCCAGGTCTTGGAGAAATGGCTTCTTGAAATTGCAATGTTCTTGAATTTTACGGTAAATAGGTATATTTGAGTGCTTTCAATGAAGAAAAATAATATGAGCGCACTCTTTGATCTGAAAAATAAAACATGTCTATTAATCCTCAGAAACATTTCTATCATTTTCTAGTTTCATATTTTAGATCAGAGGTTGCGCTCTATATTAAATATCGAAAAATAGCTTTAAAAATTGGCCGTTTTTGTGGACATTTTCAGAATATGAGGAGATTGACGCAATTAATGACGTAATAATACATTGACTTATAGCCAGAAAATGACGTCATTTTTGATAGATACGCAATCCATTGAAACATGTAAGTGATATTTAATGCATTGTTAACTAAAACTAAGCAGTTTCAGTTTTTCAGAAATTCACAAGGGCCAGAAAAGGCAAAAGTGAACCATGTTCTTTGGATTACAGATTAATCATAAGAATATTTAGGTCAGGTCCTGTTCAAGGTACAATAGAGCAATTTTTGACAGAGTTATGCCCCTTAGACTTAGAAAATTACCAATTATTTTCAGTTTCCCTTCATAATAAGTCCTGCTTAAAGAGCATGGAGGTATATAGAGCTGGTAGTGTCTGTCTAGCTGTCCGTAAATCCATCCTGTCATCCATCCATTACACTTAAGAGTACCCATCTTTTATCAGCTACTCCTCCTATACTTCAGAATGAAATTTTAATGATACTTTTACAAAATATTTATTACATAATGCCATTGTGCACTTCATATTTTACTTTTTGATTGGACACATATTTTGGGTATCTCATAACAGAACATGGACACTAGCTTTTATTTTAATATTGAAGGGTACACATCCCTAATCCATTGACTCCTCCAATACCACTGAATGAAATTTAATGATACTTTCACAGATTCTTTGTTACTTAATGACATTGTGACCTCCTATTTTACCTTTTCATCTGACACTTATATTGGGTCTCCCAGGCAAATCATGCTCTCTGCCATTATAATCATATGGAAGGTGGGGTATCATTTTGTGATCTCAGTGCTCACAGAACCTCAAGTTTTCTCTGTAGAGGTTGCACATACTGAGTGAAATTTGCTATACAGATTTATGTTAAGAATATTTAAAAATATCATATTAATTTAAAATGTAAATGGATGTATGGATGGGTGTGTGAGTGCTAAATATCCATTGTAATTTTGCTGTTATTTTAATTTGATTCTGTTTGTAATACAATAATAAAAGAATATCTAGATCTGCTTCTGTTTAAAATACAATCGAGCAAATTTTGACAGAGTTATGCCCCTTGGACTTAGAAAAATGCCAATTATTTGCAGTTTCTGTTAATTACTTTAAAAAAATGAGATAAACAGAAAAAGAATAATACATTTATTCTAGATAATGAGGTTAAATTACCATAAGAAAATAGTTGTTGAGACTTTCAAATCACTGATAGATTCCTAGTTTTCTAGATATCAGAGTTCTTGATACTGAAACTCAACTTCATCTCCTTATTGTTACCTGTAAAATTATCTCAGAGAAAGACATTTGCAAATGTGAATATATACTATAGTAAAATTTTACTTTTTTAAATCTTTTATTTTAATTGATTGATTTATATCAGTGTTTTATCATTATCAGGTCATAGAATCTGCCGTGATGACATCCAGTCTGAGGTAGAGAGGATGAAGTCACATGACCTTACTGTGTTTATATGCGGTCCACCTCCCATGATACGTGACATGGAAAATATACTGGAGTCTGTTGGAGTGCCGAGACAGAGAATACAATACGAAAAATGGTGGTAGTCACCTCCCGCAGACATTGAAGTGAAGAGAGAGAAAGCTCTACTGTCCTCAGGGATTATTGATATTATGTTGCATCATGTTCTTTTGTATTTAATATCTAATTAATTATGAAATAAATACTTACAGAATTTCTGTATTTTGCTGTGATTTTAATTTTTAGCTTGTTCAGAACAGGCATAAGTGAAAAACAAATGCTGAGATTAATTTGCTCTACAAATTGAACACTTTGAGAACCCACATAATTGAGAAGACAATTTTTTTCTGGAAAAAAGTTCACGACTTTGAAAAAAGTTGATGACTAGTTTCTCTGTCGATAATTTTTTGGTTTGATCAACAAGCTCTTATAATGGGAGTTGCATGGACTCATTCCACTACCCCCATTCATGTACAAGGTACGAACCATCTGTGGAACTCTGAGTGAATAGATAGATCTGGATTATTATACCAATAAGGGAAAGAACCTTTGTGTGTGCATTCCTTCTCTCTCTCTCTCTCTCTCTCCTTTAAAGAATAGGGAGATTATCACATAACTTTCAGATATTGTGTAATGTATTGTTGGGGAAATATTAGCATAAATAATTATGACAGTACATGTAATGTACCTGGTCAAGAATACCAAAAAAATAAAGTTATCCTAGTACATGTGATTAATAGTAAGCAATAAATATATAACTAGAGCAAAGCTCGTTGCAAAGCAACGAGTAGGTCTTCCGTCCTGTTTGACCGGAAGTAACCGGAAGTAACTTTCATTTTTACAAAAATGAATAAAAACGCCCAAAAATGTATAAATCACCTAAATATATGTTAATTAATGCTAAAATAAGCCTTTTTTGCTACTTCCGGTTTGACCGGAAGTGACGACGACGGATGGAAAATTAATTTTTATGCTCACAGAGAGATATGTTACCCAAAAACGGGTTAAGAACGGCAAAAATACGCGTTTTTCGACTACTTCCGGTTTGGCCGGAAGTGACGACAACGGACGTTTTCTAATGGCTCCGTTAGATTGAGCTTGACATTTTGAACAACTTTGCTTCTTTGACGTATTACAAATTCTCAATACGTTTTGAGATATAAAGAAAAAACTTTCGGCCCCTCTAGTCCCTTAATTTTAGGGGCCAGCCCTTTTTTCGAGAAATGATTTGAAAGATCTTGGAATTCTACACTTCTTTTGTTCTACATGCTTTAACAAAATATTTCCAGGTAAAAAGATATCGTAGAAAAGGTGGTAAAATTTTTGAAATTCGCGATAGGACTATTTTTGCGCCATACCGAGCGCCGACGTGCGGCACTTCAGATAAAAATGAAATAAATTTTACATATCTATAGACTTTGGACTATCATACCTGAAATTTTCACGTTTCTATCTATAGCCATTTTTTAGAACGTTCGAGGACAATCTGACCCTTCAAAAATCATAAAATCGACAGTATCTCCGAACCGGAAGTGACGTCATCAAATCGGAAAAAAATGCATAAGGTTCACGTAATGTTACATAAGTCCTGAAAGTTTCATATAAATCCACCGAGCCGTTTCCGAGAAATCGCGTGCACAAAATCGGTAAGAAAAAAAAGAATAATAATAATAACTAGAGCAAAGCTCGTTGCAAAGCAACGAGTAGGTCTTCCGTCCTGTTTGACCGGAAGTAGCTTTCATTTTCAACAAAAATGAGAAATAACGCCTAGAAATGGTTTGAATCCTCTAAAGCTATGTTAATTAATGCCAAAATAAGCAATTTTTGCTACTTCCGGTTTAACCGGAAGTGACGACGACGGACGGAAAATTAATTTTTATGCTCCCAGAGACATATGTTACCCAAAAAACTTGACAAGAACGGCAAAAATACCCGTTTTTGACTACTTCCGGTTTGGCCGGAAGTGACGAACCGGACGTATTTTGACGACTCAGATAGATTAAGCTTTTCATTTTGAACAACTTTGCTTCTTTGAAGTATTACAAATTCTCAATACTTTTCGAGATATCAAGTAAAAACTTTTGGCCCCTCCAGATCCCTAATTTCAGGGGTCAGCCCTTTTTTCGAGATATCATTTGAAAGATCTTAGAATTCTTCACAATTTTTGTTCTATATGTTTAAACAAAATATTTACAAGTAAAACGATATAATAGAAAAAGTGTAAGAAATTTTGAAACGCTCAATATGGCTTTTTTCAGACCATACCGAGCGTTAACGTGCAGTACTTCCGGTGAAAGTTAACAACACAATGCAAATCTACATTTGTTGCTCTATCTTCCAGACAAGGTTTCATCTTCCTGTGATGAGCGGTTTTTAAGAAGAGCGACGGCCAAAATGACCCTTAAAAATCACAAAATTGCGAAAATTTTCGAACCGGAAGTGACGTAATCAAAATTTTAAAAAATGCATCAAGTTTTTAATATGTTCTATCAGACCTGAAAGTTTCATAAAAATCTAACGAGCCGTTTTCGAGAAATCGCGTGCACAAAATCGGTGAGAAAAAAAATAATAAGAACTAGATACGATCTCGTTGCGAGCAACGAGTGGGTCTTCCGTCCGATTCTTGATAAGATGAGATAAGATTTTGATTGAGATTTTCTTTCTAAAGTAATGATTTTCCATAATCTGTAAAAGGACATTGAACATTAAAGACTTTTAAAAAATCGACTTTTGGCCCCTCACGGCCCCAAACATTAGGGATCAACCCTTTTTTCTTCATATCATCTGAAAGCTATCATGATTTTGATGACTTTTTGTTTAACAACTATTCAGAGATTCTTTTTCGTTTTTGAGTTATTTGCATAAGAAATATTTAGGGGCCAAGCCTTCAACTCCTTAATGGGGACGTTTAGCGAAAAATAAAAGGATTCATATTGTTCAGAATATGATTTTGAACATCATTTGTTTAATATTACTTGTCAATATATTTCTCATTTTCGAGATATAAAGCGTCAAAGATTTAGCATTCTGGCCCCTTTTTGGCCCCTAATTATGTAATATACGACATTAAAATCATAATATACAGTTGCAGATTGTTGAGATAAACATTTTTGCTTCAGTAATGTATAACAAAATATTGACTGTTTAAGAGTTATCGAAAAAAGACTTTTAGCCCCTTTTTGGCCCCTAATTTGAGTGCCCAGCCCCTTTTTCTGGATTTCATCTTGAAGCTCTTAGGTTTTTGAATACTTTTTGTTCAACAACTATTCAGAGATTATTTTTCGTTTTTGAGTTATTCGCAAAAGGGATATTTAGGGGCCAACCCTTCAACTCCCTAATGGGGACGTTAAGCGAAAAATGAAAGGTTGCATATTGTTCAGAACATGATTTTGAACATCTTTTCTTCAATATTACTTATCAAAATAATTCTCACTTTCGAGGTATAAAGCGTCAAAGTTTTGGCATTGTGGCCCCTTGTGGCCCCTAATTATGTAATATACGACATTAAAATCATAATATACAGTTGCAGATTGTTGAGATAAACATTTTTGCTTCAGTAATATATAACAAAATATTGACTGTTTAAGAGTTATCGAAAAAAGACTTTTAGCCCCTTTTAGCCCCTAATTTGAGTGCCCAGCCCCTTTTTCTGGATTTCATCTTGAAGCTCTTAGGATATTGAACACTTTTTGTTCAACAACTATTCAGAGATTCTTTTTCGTTTTCGAGTTATTCGCAAAAGAGATATCTAGGGGCCAACCCTTCAACTCCCTAATGGGGACGTTTAGCGAAAAATGAAAGCTTGCATATTGTTCAGAACATGATTTTGAACATCTTTTGTTCAATATTACTTGTCAAAATATTTCTCACTTCTGAGATATAAAGCGTCAAAGATTCCGCATTCTGGCCCCTTGTGGCCCCTAATCATGTAATATACGACCTAAAAATCATAATATACAGTTGAAGATTGTTGAGATAAACATTTTTGCTTCAGTAATGTATAACAAAAAATTGATTGCTAAACAGTTATTGAATGAATACTTTTGGCCCCTTTTTCTCCTGAATGGTGATGAGTCAGCACTTTTTTTTTGGTATCATATTAAAGATCTTTGCATTCCCCACAAATATTGTTCAGTATGTCTTAACAAAATAATAATACTTCAAAAGATATGACACAAAATGTCTCCAAAATTCACTCATGATTCGTGTCCTAGATTTTGACCCCTACCGAGCTTCCATATTGGACCTTTCTGAAAAATTTTAAATCCACTGTGCAATTCAGCAATGTGTCGTCTATCATCGCTGAAAATTTCAAGTCTGTAGCTAATGTCGTTTTTGAGTTTACTCATGGACAAGGAGACCCTCTGAAAATCACTGAAAGGGCGATAACTTCCGACCGGAAGTGAATTTCCAAAAAATGAAAAAAACGTATAAGGTTTAGATAAAGATACATCATCTCTGAAATTTTCAAGTAAATCGGTCGAGCCATCTCCGAGAAATCTTCTGCACAAAAATTGTAAAGAAAAAGGAAGAAGAATAATAATAATAAAAGTGAAAAAAAAACAATAGAATAATAGAAGGGTCTTCCGTTGTAGACGGAAGACCCTAAAAACAGTGGAAAAGAAACAAACGAATAACAAGAAGGTCTTCCGCTGAAGACGGAAGACCTTAATAATAAAAGTGAAAAAGAAACCTAAGAATAACAAGAAGGTCTTCCGCTGAAGACGGAAGACCTTAATTATAAAAAGTAATATTAGAAGGAACGTATGAAATCAGAAACATATCAATTAGATTTCTGATTAAATTAATATTTTCTAAATACATGTTTATATATAGACAAGAAATGATACAATTCGGAGATGTGTAAAAGCTAGCTATATAGATTTAGATCAAAGGTAACTGATTGTAGATTTACTTTATAATGCTCTAAGTTGTCCAATGTTTTGATAAAATTTGAAGATATAGCCAACTGTGTGGGCTTTTTTTTAAAGATCACTGAGTCATATTTCTATTAAATAAAATTTGCTGCTTTGTCCACTGTTGTCAACTTTAATTAAATAAGATCGGGTTCGATGTTTCGCAAAGACTGAACTTGCATTGCGGAAGTGGGAAGAGCTGCTTACAGACAGACAATATTTTGACAAGGAAGAACGAAAAATTGAACGAAAAGATAATTGTCCAGCGTTATCAGGTAAGTGAACGATTAACTGTCGACTCAGAAAAACTGACAGCGACTGTGCATATGGTCATTCTGCGATCCTGCGTCACCCGATGAGTCAGATACGCCGGCTGGGCTGTGTACGATTGTTTTTGTTTTCTGAAATATTTTGATCAATTTTAATACTTAAATTATTGGATTAAAATTCACATAAGGTAACGGAATTCCAGATAGTATGATGATAATTTCTTTCCAGTCATAATTTGTTATGGAGTCTAAATGATTTAATGACCATTTAATGAGAAGTAACATGACTAAGTGAGTTAAAAAGTCATGTTTTTAGGTCCCAGTATTGAGGAAATCATAGATCTATTCTGTATATTCAACATCTTAGTATGATTTCATGGTTGGTTAAATCTTTTTGTATATCTTTTTGATAAATACTGTATGTTTATAAGACGTGATGTCTGGTTTCTTTCAGGTTTTAATCACAAGTAATCAACATCAGCATGTGGAAGGCATCAGCTGGGCACAATGTGAAGGCGGGGATTCCCCCGACTAATGATGAAGACGACGACTGGGAGACTGAAGCAGATTTTGTGGTAATAGAATTATATAGCATTACAATATGTTAAGAACTAATGTTACAGATAATACGAGGTTTGTGGAATCAGGAGGAAATTAGCCGAGGTGGAATGAAATCTTTGAACGCATGTATTTTCTTTCTGTGACTAATTGTTAAGAAAAAGAACTACCGGTACTCAACAATATTGTAAAAATCTCCCAGATAACCAAGTGTTCAAAATACTTAGGTTAAATTGCACAGCAAACAAAAGTTGTTGGGACTTCAAACTCAATTTCACATTTTAATGGTATTCCAGAACCAGTGTTAGAAATAAAGAAGGTTAAACTACATCTAGAATTAAGTAATGAATAACATCAGCGGTGTGCAATCACACAATTATTTTTTCAGGTTATGTAGTTATGCATTCCTAGGTTACATTGTATGCATTTAAAGGAGATTGTGATTTCAAGAGCTCATGACTTTGTTGAGAACTAGACAGGACCAAATAAATTTAACTGCAGGACTCTTAAAGACATAAATTTAATACCTGTTTATCCACGTACACTGTATATTCACAGAATGATGTAAGTGAACAGGAACAGAGATGGGGAGCCAAGACGATCGAGGGGTCGGGTCACCAGGGGTCGCTCAGCCTGTCCCAGCTCAGACAGGACGTGTCCCAGGACGATAAAACTGTCAAACAGAAACAGATGGAGGAGGGACCTAAAGCTTCCTATGGTTACGGAGGCAAGTTTGGAGTGCAGAAAGACAGAATGGACAAGGTATCTATACAGAAAGGATTGGGAACTGATGAATAAATTTAATTGTATAAATTTGTTTACAATACTGTACATGTATAGTAAAACTTGTCTAACCTGGATGATTTATATTCTGAAATTTTACTAAATGTGAGATACACTTCAACTATTTTTAAAATGTTGTTTATTCCTGTCAATTTCTTTGGAACCAGTCATATCCAGATTAGACAAGTTTTATTATATTAAAATTAAATCATTTGATTTACTGATACTTTTTAAATCAATATAGGTCAGAAAGAAAGAAATTGTTGAGAAATACTAAATTGTCAGTGGATAGGAATATAAAGATGTGTTACCCATTAAATTTGAAAATGGTACTTAGGAAAATGAATTCCTATTTTAAAAAAAATAGTAAGAATTTTCTACTTCATTTCATTTTGAATATTTTAGAAGAAAATGAACAATTTCATTTTTTTAATTCCAGTCGGCCATGGGAGCAGACTACGTGGCAGAAGTAGGAAAACACAGCAGTCAGACGGATGCTTCCCGGGGATTCGGGGGGAAGTTTGGTGTGCAGAAAGACAGGCAGGATAAGGTATGGGACCTGTATATTCTTCACATACAATCAGCAGGTCCATCAAATCAATCTGTTGCATTTGTCCATGTATTAAGGTCATTTTTATGTCCTTCTATGGTGGAACTCCCAACACATTTAGCTCACCTGAGTTGAGAGCTCAATTGAGTTTTTTCTGATAGAAAAATGCATGATGTCCATCTGTCTGTTTGTGGAAACTTTACGTTTTCAACTTCAACACACCAATGTCAACCAAAACAGAAAGTTTCTTTGGTTGAAGGGAATTCAAGTTTGTTCAACAGAAGAGCCACTCCCTCTTTTATGGGGAAATAATTAAGAATTTATGAAAATTTGTTTGCAACCTTTAAAAATCTTCTTTTTAAAGAACCACTTGGTTAGAAAAGATAAAATTTATATGAAAGGTTCATTACATAGTGTACATTCAGAATTGTTAAGATCATGACCCTCCAAGAATGGTGGGGGGCATAATAGGGGATTAGATTTTATGTAGGAATATGTAAAGAAAAATCTTTTAGAACAGCAAAGCCATGTTCAGTCATATTGATATGAAATCTTCTTTGGGTAGTTTAAATTCTAGCTTGTTCAGATCATGACCCCAGGGGATAGTATAGGGCCATGGTATGTGGTTAGAGTTTGACATTGGGAAAAATATCTGCTGCAGAAGAACAGCAAGACCTTGTTGACTTGGTGATCATTGTAGGGATAGACCTCTCGTTATAAAATAAGTTTGTTTGTAAACACAGCTAATCTGTATCTTTAAATATAAAAACTTTAACATATGTATGATAATGATTTCCTTATGTCAATTGCATATGTGCTTCCTGGTAAATAAATGAATCAAAATACTACATGATATTCTACTATTTATCAATTTGCACATTTAGAGACCTTGAAAGACTTGACATTAATTTTTATTTCCTTTATTGAATCAATGTAGTATGTTGATTGTATATTGTCTTTGCAGGCAGCAGTTGGGTTTGATTATGCTGGTAAAACAGATAAACATCAGTCTCAAACAGGTTTGTCAGTTCATGGAAAAATTAACAGACATTTAAAATCAGCAAGTACATTGCTATCTTGAAATATTTCCAAGTGGAGAAAGGGTCATAATACATGTATAATATAGTCCCATGGGAAGAATTGCATGAAACAGTTTCTTAATACTCTAAGATTTTACCAATTTCTCATGAAAGATATTTCATTGAATGCTAAATGAATTATCATTGGATGAATTTTACATCTATTGTAACTACAGTAATAAGATTGACTATTAACATACATTCTCTCTATATTTTACATAATTACAGACTCTATATTAGAAGAAGAAAAACCATTTTTCATCATAATCTCATTGTTCAAGCAAGAATTTTATTGTGCACGTTAACCTCTTGACCTGAGAATGTCGTCATCAAATGAATGAAATTGTCACATGTACCGTTATAAAGCAGTGTGTATTAAAAATAATTTCATTGTTATTAACCATTAATTCATAATTCATATGAACATGATTAAATATGAAATACAAACTGGATACTAGTGGGACATGTTGCATGTATTGATATGCTGCTTCTCTTGCCTGTTCATCTCTTTGATCATATTGATGTGAATGTAGATTATTCTACGGGTTTTGGAGGGAAGTACGGAGTTCAGTCCGATCGCAAAGATAAGTCAGCGGTCGGATGGGAGCATCAAGAAAAAGTTGAAAAACATCAATCACAACAAGGTTTGGCAACATGAGAATTTGTTAATATTTTGTATGTCAGTCAAAAACCTAGGTTTTAATCAATGTATGATTTTGTATGTTTGCTTGTTTACTATGATACAACATTCTGTTCTTGTATTCAAGCATGATCAGTATGAAATCTTTTTTTGTTAATGAGTGTTTGTGAATGATTTGACTCTGGGTTTCTTTACCTTGTCATGTCATTTAACTCTCCATGTTGTTCTTAGAGTATGTAAGTGTAAGTCTGTGTCATTAAGAAAATGAATTGACATTGAATTCTGATTGTTGTAGATTACTCTAAGGGGTTTGGAGGTAAATACGGGGTACAGAAGGACCGTCAGGATAAAGCTGCCGTGGGGTGGGAGCACCACGAACAAGTCGACAAGCACGAGTCACAAAAAGGTACCGGAACAAGGGAGATCAATAAAAATGAGTAAAATATTATTACAAAATATTAAAGGAGATGGGTGAACTTAGCGTGCAAAAAACCCACAAGCTTCAGTTATATAAAAATCTTATTAAAATTGTGATTTTAGTATTTAGAGTAAAGTTCTCATCATTGATTTTTGTAAAATCATGGTAAACAAAAAGTTTTGAGGAAAATTTTTTTGTGTGTTAAAATTTATTCTTTTATAATGAAAAATAATGTGGTACCCATTGGGTTCAAACCCTGGCAATAAAAATCCTGAGTTGCATTCTCTATTGAGACTAGCACGCTAACCACTACGCTACACAAGTCCTGATGAAGTGTGGCATTTAAATCATGATTGTGATATGACCATCAACTTAAGGGACTTCAAGTATTTCTCGAAAAGATACGAAAATTATGTCATAAACTTATATTTTTAAGGTATAGTGGGTCATTGCTCCATAATTTTGGAAACCAAAATATGTATGTTTTTATGCAAACTTTGAGGATTACCTTTCAAAAAAATGGAGAGAAGAACCCCTCATAATGAAAAATAGTGTTATAGTGTGAAAAAAATTACTCGTTTTGTCCTCTTTCGTGTGTGTATAATATTTCATAGGCAAATAACTTCAATTTTCATGAGATCTGTGCAAGTTGTAGAGATTTTACATAAAGTATACTTTAATGTTAAGGAAATATTAAGGAAAATTTTGATAAAATTAAGATTTAATTTTTCACCTTCATGTTTGTCGCGCTATGGGCTTATCTCTCGTCATGTTCACCCATCTCCTTTGTGATTGATCATCATTTAAATATATATCGTAGCTCATGTACATAATGTGTTTTCTTTTATAGAAATGCATTGGTATTTGTGAAATGTCTTTGAATATCCCACACCAACAGAAATTATTGAAAATCTTAGTCTCTATACAACATTATAAATTAGAACTACATGTAGTAGACTTTTGAAGCACGTTATTTTCTTGTTGTTTAATGTAGTTTTAATTTATCTCTACTTTCAATTTCTTTAGATTATTCCAAAGGTTTTGGTGGGAAGTTTGGTGTACAGAAAGACAGGCAGGATAAATCAGCGGTAGGCTGGGAGCACCACGAACAAGTAGACAAACACGAGTCCCAAAAAGGTAGCTCTCTTTTATTCAGGATTAAAGTACTTATTGTCCCATTGAAGAGTCACTGTCAGTTTATGTGAAAAATTTGTTCTATTTTTTCTTTGTTGAGATTCCAAGAGCTCTTCTTGATATTTAGTAAACAAAGATGATTTAAGACATTCTTTAACAAAATATTCTTTTAATATGAGCATTTTATGAGATTATTTATATTTAATGGTCATATTAAGGGAGAAACATCTACATTTGATATAAGCCTTTAAATAGCTGAGTATTTCCTGTCAGATTACTCTAAGGGATTTGGAGGGAAGTTTGGGATACAGACTGACAGAGTGGACAAGTCAGCTGTCGGCTTTGATCACATTGAGAAAGTTCTGAAACATGAGTCTCAGACAGGTTTGTCCGTGTGACCGGCATGGGTGTTGTCATCCCCACATGAGTGTTGTTTTTCTCCAACTTTTTTTATTGCAGCAGCCCCAAAAAGTACATCAGTCATTTACATGTTACTCAAAAACATCTAAGTTTAGTTATAAGAGGTGGGAGGAATGAAAAAGGATTGTGATGAGGGCTGGGCTATAAAAGTAAAAAAATAAATACAATTTTAGAGATATAGGATTTTCTTGAATCTTGTCTTAATAGGTACCAATTCTATCTAGCATGATATGAAATAAGGAATGATCTATTTTTTTTTTTTTTTTTTTTTTTTTGACAATGACAATGATTTATTCTCTTAAATGTACAAACATACATTGTAGAGAGGAGGTAGGAAAATGTACAAACACAATACAAAAAATATAATACATGCATTATAAACAGTACAAAGTATCATGTTCAAGTTCATGTCAATTATTTTCATCTATAATTTGTTTGACAATCAATAAAAATTTACATAATTTTTTCAATGCTGAACAATTTGTTGTTGTAAAAAGTTGTTTAAATTTCTCTATATTTGGTCTACATGTGAAAGAGTTTGAAATATATTTTAACCTAGCCTCTTTAATTTCTTTTTGTGTGCATTCAAAGACATAATGGAATTCATCACCAATCTTATGAAAATCACATAAAGTACAAATTCTTTGTTCTCTTGGAATACCAAACCATCTCCCAGTTTCAATAGGGAGTTTAAAGTTGCTACATCTAAATTTACATAACAAAATTGAAAATTTTCTAGGTAGATTAACGAGATATCTTTCTGGTTCTAGTATTTCTTTATAAATACGATAATTTACACCCTTTGATGAGTTAAAAACATTGCTTTGCCAGTTTTGGATATTTTGGTCAACAAGTATTCTTTTTACTTCATTTTTTACCCATGCTACATTGTACATTTGTTGTGTTGTCCATAAATAAGATAATCCACAATCATCTAAAATAGTTTTAACATAGTTAACCCAAGGCAAATTATGCCTTGAAGCTAGAACATACATTTTTGTAGCAAATTTATCCATCGTTTGAGAAAAATGTAGTTTTGCCCAAAAAGAAATCATTCTCACCTTAATATTAATGATAAGTGGGAATCTGCCAAGTTCCCCATACACCATGTAGTTTGGCGTTTTAGTGTTCAAACCTAGTATATATTTACAATATTTTAAGTGAAGTTTTTCGATTAAGGAGGCTGGGGGGTCAACAAATTAATCACAAATTCACCACCAGATTTAACTTATTTTTTTTAGATACGGTAATTTAAGCTGTCTACTATCATTTCACAAAGAAAATATTCATACATTTTAGTTTTAAAATTTGATCATTTTCTATATCTTCATATGGAGCTCTCCTTTTAAAGGAGATAAAAATAGTCTGAAAATGGCTGCCACACCCCAGCCTCGTTAAAGTATTTTTTGTAAATCCCCATATTTCACATCCATATAACAAAACTGGTTGTACAATTCTGTCAAACAAATCTATCTGACAATCCATAGAAAGATTATGTTGTTTACATTTTGATATCACTCCATACATAGCTTTTACAGATTTATTGTATTGTTCTTTTATATTTTGATTAAAAGAACCTGATTTTGAAAAATATATTCCTAAGTACTTATAACTATCAACAATCTCTAGACTTAAACCATCATATGTAAAATATAAATCTTGTTTTATTCGACCTCTTCCAAAAATCATTATTTTTGTTTTGTCAACATTCACTTTTAACCGCCATTTTATACAATATTCATGAAAACAATTCAACATATTTTGTAATGACTCAGGGTTTTCAGCAAATAAAACAGTGTCATCAGCATACAACAGAGCGAAAAGCTTAATATACACATGAAGTTCAGTCTCAATCATTTCAGATATTTTCTCTAAACCAGTTATATCATTCATGGTGAGGAATGATTCTAAATCATTTAAATAGAGCGAGAACAAAAAAGGGGATAAATTTTCACCCTGTCTTACACCAAGTTGACAAGGGAAAGTATCTGAAAGAACACCATTTACTCTAATTTTTGCCTTGATACCCTCATACATTTTCTTGATTATTCTAAAACATTTTCCATCTATATTACAATCAAATAGTATTTTATTCCAGAGTCCTATTCTCCATACAGAATCAAAAGCTTTTTCAAAATCAATAAAGGCACAATAAATTCTTTTTTTTATCTTTTTGAATATATTTCTATGATGTCTTGCAATGATTACTCAAGCCTTTTATACTATATGTTAAATAATAATTGAAGGAAATAATACATCTAGATAACAAATGAGTATTAAAAAATGTGAACTTCTCTGAATGCCTGGATAACTATATGTGATTTTAATCTAATTATGGTAAAGTATAATTGTTTGAATTAGTTTTTTATTATAAAATGCATAGCTGTTGTTTCTGTTTGCTTTTCCTGAATATAGAAAAAAATAATAATTTTGTAGTGTGATTTAGTAGCTGTAATGATAAATTCTGAAGGAATGTTGTGGGTAAATACAAAACTTTGTGAATTCAGAGGTATCTTGGTGAGCATTTTCAATTCATTGCTGATTTGAGGAACCTGAGGATAGGACTACCTTAAGGATAATAAGAAAATAATGAATGGAATTAATTACAAGAGGCTAAATATGTCATTATATACTTTTTACTTTGATACTGAAATAGGAACAAAAAGTTTCAAGGAGTTTTCTAACTGCACCTTTGAATTGAAGTTTGTCGTGCATGTTTCACCTTAAAATTGTGTTTTTTAGTTGTTTTTTTTTCCTTCAGATTAGGCCATAATAAAAATATTCCTAGATTCTCATCCCCGCCCGCCCCGATTTCACACCCCCGCCTCGATTTTTTTTATTTCTGTTTTTCTTCGTCTTAATTCTGATCGGGATCGGTATTCATCTACCAATCTACTTTCGTTTTAAATCCCGCGAAAGTCGATATGATTTTGACAGCTGTAAAGATGGTAATTGGTGTAATACATGCGTATATATTTTAAACAAGGGTCATTGGTTGATAAAGATCGATGATGATGTGAAGTAAGAGATAATTGAACCTTTACTATGACTCTTATTCGGGTATTGTAGGTAAAATTACATCGATTGACCAGGTCAATAAAAAATCTGCAAAATTGAAAAAATAAAATATATAAAATAAAAGCCGCCCGCCCGCCTCGATTTTAAAAAAAATTTGGATGAGAATCTAGCTATTTATTTATTATGGCCTTATATGAATTTTTATTTACAATTGTTATAAAGTGTAACCTCATATTGGTGACTGTATTTTGACTGTGTTTTATGTGTTTACTTTTCAGACTACTCCCGTGGTTTTGGTGGTAAGTACGGTGTACAGACAGACAGACAGGACAAGTCAGCTGTGGGGTACAGCAGTCATGAGAAGGTCCCCCTCCACCCCTCCCAGACAGACATGAGTAAAGGCTTTGGGGGAAAGTTTGGAGTGGATTCAGAAAACAAAGACAAGGTGAGCAAATACTTCAACAGGATCTTGTTTCATTGATGTCAATTTAGAGGTCTTACTTGTCCTTTACTAGATTGTTCCAAGTAAATTCTTTGTTTTACACCACTGTATGTGTAAGTTTACCAGAAATTGTTGCTGTGAAATATCGATTAATTAAATTAGCAGCTTTAGTCTAAAAACTAAACCTACACATGTAACTTATTCTCAGGACATTAAAATTTTGTTTGAAATGTATTAAATGTTATTTATTTTTCTTCCTTTTGAGGTTTTGAATTTATAGGTGATGTTATAGGATAATTTCAGACATTCCCATAATCTTGTTTTAATGGTTGAAAATCTTACTGCAGTAGTCCATTAAAGATAATTGTTGAAGAATTAGCCCAGAAAACTTTGTGATTATGTATTTGATTATTTGCTGATGCTGTCCCTCATTTATATTCCTCAGTCTGCTGGGTCGTACAATGATATGCAGGGAGTGTCATCATCTTACACCAGGACACAGGCCGATTCAAGTGAGTAACAGCTTCTAGTTCTTCATGGAATGATATGCATTTAAATACTTCTTGAATGAAGAATAAAGTCCTTTGACTGTATTTTAGGAAAAAATATTGATGTTTCATGATGAGAAAGGTCTTAATATACATGTATATTATGTCAGATGGAACTTTTTTTACCATCATGCCGAAAACTTGTACATTGTATATCAGAAGCCTTAAACTCTAATTGATACCTGAGATTCAAAGATATATATTCCTTATATTTATAATGTCATTATGCTTGTTTTAGTGTAATAATGATGGAGTTTGATTTAAACTACAGGTTCAGAGGGAGCTAAAAATATCAAAGCTCGCTTTGAGAATATGGCCAAGTCAGGAGAAGAGGAGGCGAAGAAGAGGGCAGAGGAGGAGGAGAGGAAGAGGCGAGAGGCCCGCGAGGAGAGGGAACGAGAGGAGCAGAGGAGGCAGCAGGAGGTGAGGGGTGGATCTAAAGATTTACTTACAAATTGTATGAGGAAAGGATCCTAAAATTTTACCCAAACAATTTTTTTCGAAGGGATGTATAATTAGTAAACTCTGTTTACATAATTTGATAATAGGTTTTATTGTAGAGAGTATTTGATTTCTGAAATGAAAGTATATTTAGAATTTACTTTACTTTAGAATGAATTAGAAAATGAGTGGAAATATATCTTATCATATCTAATCATATGTTAACCCATTAATTTTTCAATCAGGAGAGGTTAAATAAAGAGAGTTGGGAGGAAGAACAGAGAGCAGCCAGTCAACCAGAACCTGAACCCGAACCCGAACCAGAGCCGCAACAAGAGGAATACGGAGACGTGTCTTATCAACAAGTACACAAGGAGGTCAAATCTAAAACAGTTTTTAAAAATTATATCAAATACAATAAAAGTGCCCAATAACATCCCAAAGAAAAAAAGAAAGATCATACAAATAGTATATAACAGTCCATCCTTGATATCTCAACCTTAAAAGTGTCAAGGAAAAAATTCAAGATGCCCAAGGATTTGAGATATCAAGGGTAAAATAAACAGTAAGTAGCTGGAACTTCGGATGACGTCAACATATCCATGGTATTCAAGATATGCTGATATCTGAGTCTGAGATACCGAAGTTTAATTGTGTAGTCATGAAATAGTTATGTAGGCTACGGGTGATGAGTTCTGTGTGCCTATGACTGGAATCTGTGTTTTACAGGAAGTGCCTCCCGTTGAGGAACCAGAGGAGCTGTATGAGGACACCACTCCTCAAGATGATTACGAGGACGTACAGGAACCTCCTGCAGCAGCCCCACCTAGTGGAGCAGGGGGACTAACTGCTGTGGCTGTCTATGACTACCAGGCTGGTGGGTGTTCAGTAAAATAGAGATAAGAGTTATCCCTCTTTTTATGTTCAATAGAAATGAGTCTAAATAAGAATAATTTTCATTGCAGCTGACGATGATGAAATTTCTTTTGACCCTGATGACATTATTACAGATATTGAACAGGTAATTGATAATTGCATTTAATAGCAAGTTGGTTGGATTTATCTGAATGTTACTTTGAATCTCCAATTATGCAGTAATGAGAGAAATGGTCGATAATTACACAGCAAACATAAAGATGACCTTTAATTAAGGGATATATAAAATAGAATCACAGAATACATGATAGCAAGAGGAATGGGTGGTAATATAACACACCAAACATTAAGATAACTTAATGAAGGGATATATAAAATAAAATTACAGAACGAGATCACAAATTCAGAATGTTACTGAGGAACTCGGATTGATATAGAAATTATCACTTCTACTGCAAATGTCATTATTCTGATGTCAAGAAACACCCTCCATATCTCCTTCTATTTATTAGTGAATTATACATTACATTTTGCAATCATTTGAAATGCAAGTAAAATGCTTTACTGAAAGATTTTTCTTTATAATCACTGATAATAATAAACTAAGGTTTTGTACAACCCCAGTCACATTGTCTACATTAGCTTTACTCTGTATAGGACTTACTAATAGACTGTTATAAGTCAATTGATGCATTCATTCAGCTCTGTACAGTTTTCACTGGGCTGAAGAGTAATCTTGCATTTTCCATTTATTTGGGAGATCATCAGAATAGGAATTAATATTGCTTCTTTTTCTAAGGATTATTTCGCTGTCCAAGTGATTGTCACTTTTATGACATTGTTTCAGTTTTCTTGCACAAGAGTTTGGAAAGGTTTGCTATTACAAATTAAGGGACAGATTTGCATTTGTTGGGGATCTGGATATCTTTATGACTTCAGACTGTGGAAGTGTACTTTTAACAAAGCTGATATCACTGTTACACATAAAAGTTAATTAGAACATCAAAATGGAAATTAAAACCATTAGGAAATATCATTTTATCAGTGCAGCTACCATAAAATGAACATCATGTTAAGATCATTTCTTCAAATTTATACAAAGCATAAATTTTTAGCTGTTCTGGTCAAAGACTAGAATTTTATATGAATTGGTTAGGTGTCTTTCATCTATCAAACTGTTTGATTAGTTATTGATCACAAAGCTCAGTAACAGTTACAAAAATAAGGCTGACAAGCTAAAGAATACTGTATGTGTCACAGTATTCTGATCTGTACCTTATGAATTGGCCTTTTTGCACTAATTTGAGGGTTGACATGTATGCTGTAAGTTGTACGTTATAAATTGACCATTTTGCACTGATTTACAGGTGGATGAGGGATGGTGGAGGGGTTCATGCCGCGGTAAGAACGGACTTTTCCCAGCCAACTACGTGGAACTCCAGCAGTAAATCCTGTGATAAGGACCTCACCAATAGTGGTTCAAGCCAGACACATTACTATAGCATCATCATGTAAACAATTACTGATATTGTAAACATCACATTATCATGTAACACATTTATTGAAAAAGCCATTACTATCTTATCAAAAACAGGTTTCATTCTCTATATAAATTTAAGATTATTTTTTACCATATTCTTATGAATTTAAATATTTGATATATTGTCTTCCTTTGAATGTTTCCGAAACCAATTGTACATGTTTATAGAGAGTTTTGAATGCCAGGAGCATAGAATACATGTTATGATGTTTTATTGTGTATCAGAATTTAAGATATTGTTTTATATTCACTAATCATGGTGAACATGAGAATTTGTATGTATGAATATTTATTATAACTGCTGTATTCACATTTATAGCATTTGTATCAATTTTGAACAAAAAAAAATCATAAAATGCAAAGCTACTGTAAACAAAGTTTTACACAGAAGAAAATGATCAAAAAAGCAAAACCTGATTCATTTGTACATTATATTTTATTCCGAATGTTAAGATGATTTATTTTTAATTAGGTAGGCTAGATTTGGATATTTTTAATTTGTTAACCTATATTTGGACAATTGTCAGTCACTTCCGTGGATACTGCATTCCAATATAAATGTGATTAATCCTAAACAGTGGGAATTCTCTTGCTGGTTACATATCTGTGTGGAAAATATAATGCATAAAAAGTTTTCTTTTCAAATAAAAATTTGATATGAAGTTACCTTCCGTTTTCGTTTTTCCTCATAATGAGTCACTAGTTTTATTTTACTGTCATTCATGTAACCCTTAAACAATTTTTTTCTTAATTTTTCAGATTTGTATTTTTATGCTTTTAAATATTTCTTTTTAATTTTATCTTTGTGATGATTTGAAAATAATGTCACAACCTTTTACTCCCAATTCATGAAAAAAACTTAGCATTCATTGGTTGAATGTAAAACATTCTATAGTCTGGGGATGGATGATACATGTATTTTATCCAACCATTTGTCTGCTTACTAAGTTTGGTGTGACCTTTTCATTATATAATCTTCAATTTTCTAGGTGGAGATGACATACTTTCATATATATTTCCAAGGTTGACCTAGATTTAACCTTTGTATTTTGCATCAGTAAATGGTGAAACCATTCATTTTTGGTAAAGATGACCTTTTCTGGATTGCTATTGTCTTACACTTCACATAAAATAAACAGGATGAAATTTCATCCATGGTAACCACTTGGGTTTGCCTTGACCTTTGAATGTTTAAATGAACAAAACTATTGGTTGAGAATTAATCTTTGTGACTTCTTATATTAATGACAGGTAAATAAGGATGAGGTGTTAAAAAACCAAACATTAATCTTATCTTTCCGTTGACCTTGATATTGGCAAATTTATACATATCTGCCTTTTGAATTGCTTATTCCTGAAAAATGAGTACTGAGGGACAGTTAAGATTGTTGAGTGTTGATATAAGCAACACTGTGCTTCTTCCTAAATTGTAAAATTCATTGCCCTTGGGTCAGTTTTTTTTAGCTCACCTCAACGAAGTTGGGGGAGCTTATGTAATACCCTCGGCGTCGGTGTCGGTGTCGGCGTTGGCGTCCCAGGTTAAGTTTTTTGGAGCAGTTTTCTTTTAAAGTACTTCTATGTCCTATATTGATTAGACATGCATGGAAGATGGTTCTAGTGTGTTTCATTGTACCAGTCAAAGTTTCAGATGCTGCAATTTAGGGAAAGAAATGACCAGGTTAATGTTTTTGGGGCAAAATTTTTCATTTTTTGGGGCAGTTTTTGGTGTGGGTTTCATTTCCAAGTAACTATAAGCCCTATGTTTACCAAACTTGCATGGATGATACATCTTAGGATGCATACTACCAGCCTTGCTTCGGATGCTGAATCTGACCTACATTTTCCGGTTGAGTGAACAGGTTAAAGTTTTTGGTGTAGGTTTCATTTTCCCAAATAACTATAAGCCCTTTGTTAACCCAAAATTAAAGGGTGATACATCTAAGGGTATACCACCAGGCTTGCTTCGGATGCTGAATCTGACCTACATTTTCCGGGTTAGTGAACAGGTTAAAGTTTTTGGTGCAGGTTTAATTTCAAATTAACTATCAGCCCTATGTTGACCAAACTTGCATGGATGTTACATCTAAGGATGCATACTACCAGGCTTGCTTCGGATGCTGAATCTGACCTACATTTTCCGGTTGAGTGAACAGGTTGAAGTTTTTGGTGTAGGTTTCATTTCCAAGTAACTATAAGCCCTATGTTGACCAAACTTGCATGGATGATACATCTAAGGATGCATATACCAGGCTTGCTTCGGATGCTGAATCTGA